CCATGGTAAATATTTTAGATACACCACTGACCAAAGTACAGTAGGCACTTATTTTATACTCATGATACCTGGTGAATAGGAAATGTGCTGGAAACATCCTCCGCAAAAAAATTTGGCATAAAAATCCGTTCATTTTGGAAAATAAATAAGGGCCTGCAGATTTTGCCGAAAATTAAGTTTTGACCTAATCTTAATCATGTGTAGTGACGACCCACTGGATGTCACACTGCAACGACCCCGGATTCCCTGGGTTAGTCCATCTGCGCAGACAGACGCGTTTATCGGCCTCTGCACTGCACGGCCAACCCTGGGAAGCCCTCGGAGAATGGACGTCACTTTAAGTCAAGAGCTCATTCAAGCAACACAAACGATTATAATAATAACTTTATTTATCCACGGGTACTCATTTCAATTATTTTTACAAAGGTTGGTCTTCAAAGAGGCTGTGTTCTTAAACTACTGATATGATAAAAGAAAGGGAAAACAAACATGGAAAAGTGAAAACCTACCAACTGTAAAAATTAGGAACTAAATACTACTTTTAAACAATTTCAAATTTGAAATAATAAAATCTGCGGTTTCAAAAACTGGTCAGGTTTGACACAATATTTTTAAAAGCCCAAGCGAGAAACCAATACCGATACCTTTTGGCTATTTACAATATATGTAAACAATGTATAATTTATAATTACGATTCTGCGCATATGCAGTACAAATTTTAGCTGGTTTTTGGGGTATCATCCATCAATTAAGTATATGGGTCCAGTAAATCAAAATTTGACAAACTGGGTTTACAGTAAACTGGGTTTTCGTTCGGCAAAATGGCATTCGGCAAACTGGGTTTCGGCAAAGTGGACTCGGCAATCTGGGGATAGTAATCAAAGTTTCGGAAAACTGGTCAGATGTCCTAGGCTAGTAGTAGCTACTCTAGCTATGCCAGGACCGTCAGACACTAGCCTAGCTAGCCTCGGCCCTAATATTACTAGACCTACACTAGCCCACAATTTTGTATTAGGGCCTAGTAACTAGAGAATACTGTAAGCTAGGTGACCTGAATACAGATCATTTCGGTCGTGCCTGCATTTCGGTCACGCCTTATTGTTATGCATTTTGGTTGCGGTTCACAGCCGCGGTATGGAACGATTGTTATTGTTTTGAAATAGTTTCAATTTTAGCATTTTTAGGTACAATTATTATGTAGTGTTGTATATTTATAAACAATGTTTTTTTTTTACTTGCGATTCCCAGAAGTAAAAGTGATGTTTACAGCTACAGTATAGGCCTAGTAGTATTAATTATCGAATTTCTGAATGTTTCTAAAGGGAGGCCGCCTAAATTACAGTAGGCTACACATCTATAGCTTAAGTTTAAAATATAGCCTATAGCTTTGAACATACTGCAATGAATATAAAATTTGAGATTATAAAATTAGAAAATAAAGAAGAAAATGTTATACAAATCATGTCATCAGCTGGACGTTTTTCATTAGTAAGCAATCTACATCATTAAATCGTGCATAAAGAGAAAAAGAAAAAATGGCAATGATAAATATAGAAATCATTATTAAAAAAAAGTATGTTGTATATTGAACACAACACAATATAATACAAAAAAAAAATGCAAAATATGTAGCTTGATTGTATCTTTTATTTTCTCTCTTGTAGTAAATTAAAAACGTTTGTTCATCATCAATTTCATTTTTATTTAAAATTACTCATCGGCAGTCGCCTTGTTTCGCTAAACCAAGGCATACAAAATCTCTCCTAAATATACTGTATATAAACCATACCTTTTAACATATCTTTTTTATTTATTTATTTATTTCTACAAAACACCTGAGGGAGAAGCAATATGTACAGAACAGCGCATTAAAAACCATCAAAGACAATACAATTAAAATGGTGGTAATAAATTATAAATACTATCAAAATCATTAATACATAAAAGATATTTGACACTGCCACATAATATACAGTAGGCCTACAGTACCTTGATTTAAACAATTATTTTTAAAATACAACTTACAATAAAAAATAGATTTAATGAAATAACGATCAGTAAAAGAAAATTCATTACTAACACGAGAGACAAGAGTACCCTTAATCGAAGAACTTAAAACTGGAAGCGGAGTTATTACTAAAGATTGGCGATATATATATAAGGTCGAACTGAAAGCATTTTATTAGGTACGACCTAAATTAATGAGGTAACAGGAGTGCTCTGACAAAATTTTGATTGCCTTACATTAAAATACATGTTTTTACTTAACAATTTATAATTTTAAACTAGGTATAAAAAAGTCAATCTTAAACATAAATAAACCGCATTTTAACATATTTTGTACATACGTTTTTATTTTAACAATATATAATTTGAAAACCAAAAAGATCCAGATTAATCTCAGATAAGAAAGCTTAATATACTCCAAGTATTTATAATTTAGATTGTATATTTGCAATACTTTTTTCCCCTTTATTTTCCTCTAGTCTCCAGAGATCTCCTGCCGTATACGTTATAATAATGTTAACTCTTTCCCATTCACATACTGTAGTCATAAAAGGCAGTTTCGGTAAAAAGAAAATACTGTAATACCAATTGATGTTTAAATAAACTGTACAATTAGTCAAAAAGTAGTAAAATAAAAATGACTGATTTCGTGCTTACCAAACGGCAGGCCTAGCTAGGCCTATAGGATTATTATACATTCGCGGTCACGCCTTCGGCGCTCCATACACCGCGACCGAAATGCATAACTAAAACAGCGCGACCGAAATGCAGGCGCGACCGAAATGATCGGATACCGGTGACCTAACTGTAGGTCCTAGCTAGGACTATGTCTCCAGAGCCTAGGCCTAACTAAAGCTTATTATTATATAGAGGGCAAGGTGGCCTATCTATATAGTATAGGCTAGGCTAGCTAGTCCCTCGCCTATAATAGGCTCGTACACTTCTCTAAAACTCACCATCTTGCATACAAATTCGTGTTGAATCTGTAGAGTCACCTTCGATCTTTGACAGAAATGTATTTATTACCTCTTCCCTCTCGATTTTGGTAGTTTTGCCACTAAGGAGTGATTCTAGAGTTGCAGAAGGCATCTTTAAAGATTACTTCCGCGGTTTGTTTACAAAAATGTATGTTTGCTATAATAAAATGACGTTTGGCGGTCCAGATCGATTATTGATTATAATGTCCATTAGAGCAACGGGAATTCTTCGCTAATGTGCCATTTTAGAGGTTTAGAAATCATGAAAAAAAAAAAAAAGTTTTACATATGTAATTTTATGCCATATAACAACTGTAATAAACATTCAGCACGATAATCAGGGCATTTTAAACGTTTATTTAAGCATTCGATTTTCAGTGCTGTAACAAGCAAATATTTCAAGAATCATCTCCGCTTTTTTTGTAACGGAGATGATATACTATGTGACTTAGTAAATTTAAATAGATTGTACTGTATAATATAGGATCAGTGTGACCCATGTGTGACCACTCACAATTTTTGATATACCCAATGTCTGGGTCGAAATTACCCAAGATTCAGCAAAAATTGCCCAAAATTACCGAAGCTTCCTGAAAATGCATTAAAATTTGAAAAATACGTGTTTTTCGCCTGTATAGTTTCCCTTTTAGTTCAATTTATAAACCAATTTTTTATTGTAATTTGTTTGTGTTAATTATCAAAATTAATATTCATGAGGTGATAATATGGATAGAAAAATACGCCCTCAGTCGGCCAGTGTTATCAGTAGATCAGTGATCAAGTTTTATTATGTAATGCATTAATTAGGTAAGATCAATGGCAATTGAACACAAATCACAAATAAACAATTCAGAACCCATGTTTATAGCAATTAACAGTCAATTAACAATGTTATGTGTACTTCGTTGAGTTTTGCTTACTTGAATGGACTGAAATATACTTTGTTACTTCTTAATTCTTTCTCTATGACAAAAATATTTAATTTTCTTAGTAAAAATAAAATACCCATAGGATTTGAACGGAATACCCAAGAACCCAAGACCAAGTCAAAATACCCAAGATCTTGGGTAAATACCCAAGCAGTGGTCACGCTGTATAGGATAATACACATTGAACAAACAGGTTTCTAACAATAAGTCATGTCAATTACCTTTTTAGTTTATAGCCGTTTTTGAGAAAAGAAAACACCAAGAAATCATCTCCATCACATTTTTGTGACAGAGATGATGATATACTCATAAATGTGAATCGAGGCTGGCCAATTTAAAAGATGAGATGTATTATTTAAATATAGAATAGTAAACATTGAGCAAAAAGGTTTCTAACAACATAAATCAGATCAATTATCATTTTTATTTTATATTCGTTTTTGAGGAAAGAACATCAAGAAGTCATCTCCCTTACAGTTGTGATAGTAACTGTGACGGAGATCATAGTGCCATATGCAGTGTGTTACATGGTGAATGTCATGTGCACTTTGAAAATGACACAGTTGTGATCGTATAGGCCTATACATTTTTTTTTCTAAAAGAATATTAAATAAAACATACTCCGAAGCGTTCGGAGATGATGCTGAAATAAAGGTAGGTCTTTTTATGGTTATTAGAAATGCATGAATTCTTCAGCTAGGTGGTTTAACTGAATGTAGGTAATAATGGCCCCGGAAAAAATGGCCCCGGAAAAAATGGCCCTGGAAAAAATGGCCCCGGTAAAAATGGCCCCATATGACAGGTAGGTAAGACTGCCCCCAATGAAAAATTCGGTAATAGAAATGATATATTTTTTTTTAATCTTCAAATATTTAAGTACTTTATAAGCAAGAATTGAATCAAGAAATAAAATATGGCCCTCAATTATAAAATTCAAGAAAAAAAATTAATAATAAATAAATAAATGCTGTAAAATACCCTGTAGCAAAAATTGAATTAATAAATCAACATAAAAACCTAATCTTGTTGTCTCTAATTGACATGAAACAAAGTAGGCCTACATAAACCTAGGGCCTAGGCCTATTTCCAGTGGCGGATTTAGGGAGGTGGGTGTAAGGGGCGTACACCCCCCTATTTTTTTGCAAAAAAAAGAGAAAAAAAAAGAAAAAAAGAAAAGACAAAATTACACCCACAGTGTTTAAGTCTTCTTTCCTACCAAAAACACCCTAGGAAAATGTTATTCATAAATCCACTTGGTGAGAAATAAAACACTTGTAATTTACTCAATGATTATATACAGTAGCGGATTTGGTTGTTTGACGAATTTTTTTAACGGATTTTGGAAAATATTAGTTTTCCTTTTTGCTGGTTTTGTGATTTTTATGTTCGATGTTGATGAAAAACTTCTTGTTTTCTAGAAGTGAAATTTCTCTTTTGAAATGGTGTACATTTCTGAGCCTTTGCATGTTATCAAAAATTATGTTTGAGATGTTCGTGGAAAAGGCACTAAAACCCACAGCTTTGAGTAGATAAATTATTATTAATTTAATAATACATTTCGTAGTTGCATATTGCACCATTATATTAACATTTCATTTAAAAGACATACACCTATTTTTTTTTTTTTTTTTATTTGTTACTGAAAACTACGGTACCATGCGCTAGATATTCAAAATCGACTCAATACAACCTCATATTTCTCAAATGTGCTGGGCTTCAAGGGAGCTTCTCCCCCTTCCACCCCCGCCGGGGGTCTGCCCAGCATAAGGCTGCTCGCTTCGCTCGCAGATTGCGCCCCCACCTTTTCTGGCAGGCTGGATCCGCCCCTGAATTCATTGATATTTTTGCACCATAAGATTAATATATTGCCAAAATAATTAAGACACTTAATTTTTTCACTATTTCTTGCTTATTGCTGATTTTTATTTTTTTATTTTTTTTTTTTTTGCTTGTGTAAAACCATCACAAAAACATTTGGCCAACGATAGGGGAGGAGCGATGTGTCCCAGAACCTCTTAAGGGGGTCCACGGGGCAAAGTCCGGAAGCTCTAACAAAATTTAGTGATTTTCAATGCTAAGGCCCGTAATCAATCGTACAGCCTCATATACTGTAAAGGTTACATATGATTATTTTTCAGTAACGAATGCGTTTAGTTCTCCTTTGACAGTCACTCTGGGAATCAGCCTCCGCAACTGGCACCACTACTTAATTTCAATTAATTATTTTGTTGGGAGCTGACGGTTTTAAGTAGCACGATTAAGTGGTGAAGCATTATTAGGTTGTTTACAGGCCCGTATGTTCTGGGTCCAGAGGCCGAGAAGCAAGCTCTGAAAAAAAAATAGCATTTTGAGGCAGTATTTATTAGATTTCTGTAACCCATAATTTACCTTGGATTCAAACTATCGATCGCGACCCAAGTTAAAGTCACCAAAATACTTTGCAGGGCCACTGGACGTTTAAATTGTCGGAGATTGGTATTTGTCGACATGTCCTTCCTTTCTGATATGTCCTTCCTTTCTTTGTGCAAGTTGAACTGTGTGTGAAGTAGCGTTTCCTGAAATGGGCATTTTTTTTTCCACAAAGTAAAACTAGATATTTGTTTTCTATCATAATTGACCTTGATTTTTATGTTTGCTTCTCATCGTTTACGCCAGCAAAATACTGTTACATACTCGGGCGTCCTTACGAACAACTTCCTGGTTGGCCTAATGCTGTAGGAGTATTATAAAACCAAGTATCAAATTACAGGCAAAATCGTAAACAAAGTCATACAAAGTTTGTTCAACTTAATAGTTTGAAATATGTATTTTCTCTGTAATTTCAACCCATCCTATTCACCAAATACCAAATATTTAAAGATGTCAGAAAATAATAAAAATTAATTTTGAAATCAACTTGCTCATTTTGCAATAACATACAAATAATTAACTTGTACATAGAAATGATTGAATTAAAAAAATGTGTACCCTGATTTTTTAATTAGAAAAATATAATAAAAGTAATAAAACACTTCCAGTGACTAGAAGTGTTTCTATTATTTTTCGCTGTAAACTGATGGGTAGATATTTTTTAAATACACCAAGTGCTATGTTGAAGTTGATAACTTTTAAGTTGCTTTAAAATGGGCAAGTTAATTTCAAAATATATTTTTTATGATTTTTATGGTATGTAGCATGGGACAATACATCTTTAAAGACTCAAAACTCTTCGCCAGTAGAATCTCCGGTCTACTCATAATACTCATTATTTTTAATCTGCTATGTCATATTTAAAGGTAAGGGTAAAGTTAAAGGTAGGAGAATGACCCTTAACTTGCAGCGTCATTGTGCTGAATTGCGTATGGGCGTGGTCCCTGACTACCTAGCATCCGTAAAGAGGCGCTTCCTGGTAGATACATGTTCACATCATTCCACAACGACAGGAGCTGAAATGAACCATAACATCGGGGTAACCCCCTACTCTTCCGAAAGATGCACTGGGTTCTCTAAAGTGCACACGAGCCAGATGTATGCACTGGACCTACATTTTAAGTCCTTATCCGAGAAGACTTGTTCTACTAACTGAGGCATGGGCGGAGCGGCTGAACCAGCGCCGATGTTAAGGCTGTAGCTGGTGGCGCCCCTATATCACCCACTAACGTAACAATCAACCACTAATGTAACATTAACCACTATTGTAACAAAAATCAACCACTAATGTAACATTAACCACTATTGTAACAAAAATCAACCACTATTGTAATAATTCATTAACCACTATTGTAACAATTATTTAACCACTATTGTAACAAAAATCATTAACCACAATTGTAACAACAATTTAACCACTAATGTAACAATGTACAATATATAGTAGTCGCCAAGCCGAAACTTCATGTGCATTGTCATATTAAAAAACAAATTTTACATTTTATGATGGTTGTGGCATTTTTAAAATTTTATAATTTTTTATATAGAGGGTTAAAGGTCATATTTCAAAAAAAAGGTCTGAACAAGCCCAAACTGGACAGAGATAGTCTATGACATTGTAAATATTAGTAAATATTTTTTATGAAGTTGAAGGTCAAAGGTCAGGAAAGGAAAATCTTTTTTTAAAATGATAGGCTTTTTAAAAATGTTGTGACTTTTGATATAAATGTTAAAGGTCAGACATTAAAAATGGTCTGAACAAGGCCAAATTGCACAGGGGTGGTCCTAATTAGGTTACTTAAAGGCAACGCCGGGGTATAAAAG